GTTGAAGGAGTAAAAGGGATTTGAAGCAAAAAGGCCTCAGTAAATAATATTTCGCGCTGTTCCAAATTAGACAACTGTTGATAATGCAACACCTCGTGTCTTATTTCTCTTATTTGTGTCATTTGTTTTGGAAATAAAACGGACTTGAATAACGTCAAAAGATTCCTAGTCATAGAACACATGCATCCACGATTATTCTTATCATGAGCTTCTATCCCAGCCGAGGCCATACCATCACTCCCCAACCACCGCGTCTCTGTTCCCCATCAGATTTGGATTGAACATATTATTTTTAAGCCACAATCGCTCGTCGACCTATCCGGTCCACTCTTTTCTGTCTGCATAAGCGGCACGGTTGAAGTAGATTTATTTTTAGGCAATTAGACGTGTCAGTCAAAGTGGACAGAAATCATTTTTATGAAACGGGGGGATCGACCGTCACAGATGAGAATCTTCGTCACTGCGCACTGTGCCGAACACTACAAAGTGTGATTGATTGCTTTAAACTGACCGAAAAGATGTTACTAGGAGATATCCCATTTTCAGCACGATTCTTCAATTCATGGATTGGAACACGAACTGAAATTAGTCAAGCGCATGTATAGTAGCAGTATAAAAATGGCAGATGAAAATTCATTGAACTTAATCCAAAATGACTCGCGAAGTCCTGTTTCAAAAGCATTACAAGCATCAAGGGTTGCAAATATATACAATTCTACACCCACGAACACAATAAGATGGAAAACAGAATGTTGTGAACTCCAATCAGTTATTCCAGCAAACTTATTACCCTCAGCAAATATCATCCCCTAAATTTAGAAACATAGATGTACTTGGTCGAACAGATTAGACCTGACCTACAATGAATCCACGCTACGGATCGGCAAAACCATACGAGTAGACATGACGGAATAAACCAGCTTCCTATTAACAACAACGCTTCACCTGATCGATTACCCTTAACCGGAAAAAAGAGACCATCGGCAATATCATGCGAGTTCCATGGAATCATCTTTCCAAATGCTTGTTCACTGTAACGTTTCTCGGTTCGATATATTTTCATCAATCTACTAAGCTGGATGTCAATTGTCAGTTAGTTCATTTGGGTGTTCTGTTCAAAGTCCGATAGAGATCAAAACAAACATCGCAGTCCCACCCCACCCCCAGCTCAGTTCGATGCAACCGCAATAGTTTACCGGTACATTGGTTTCAAACGATCACTCTTACAGTTACACCCAAGCTGCTACACCAACAGTTCACTCAACAGAACAACACATCCTGATCACCTGTTGCTTTCCAATCCAAACCATATTCAAAGTTCGTCGTCCCAATGAAAACAAGCAAGAGCGAACGTGAACTGCACAACGATGGACACTGTTCCTGGTTATCATGCTCCCGCATCGAGTTCGTTCATTCAGATGTGATCAAATTTGATTGAACGGAAATTCCAATGTCACACGCACACGCACACACTGGTAGTTGGAAAACAGATGCGCATCCAATTTATGATAACCCAACACGAATGGAACACGAACATCAGAGAACCATTCGGTCCCCGTTACATCTGTATCATGTTCGATCAGGTGACTGAATGGATGATTGCACAATCTGTCGGAGATGAATTTCGTTATGTACACAGATCACACGGCTTCATGCGCAAAATCCGACCAAATAATCATTCCTGTGAAGAGAAAGCAAAATGCTTGAATGCCTTCGGATCCACTTTCAATGTTTCAATCGATTACTTTCCCTGCACGAATCACCCCAATCTCGAATGACCAGCCTACTCGCCTCTCTTTTCCTCATTCACTTGCATCGAACAATGCATACAGTGGATCTCTCTCCACCCCAGCCCACCCCACCCCAAAAAAATAGATAACACGTGGTCGCTTCCATTGTGACGGAAAGACAACTAATGGAAAAACCGATACCCGGAATGTCTTTTAGAGTTTTCTCGTTATCGAAGTTTCCAATAAATGTAAAAATGCTGATTATAAAATAAAATATCAACAAAGAAGCGATTTCATCACGCAGTAATAAAAGATATATGCATATGATCTCTGACTGACCGACTGTCACTGTGAATGGATGGATTTGAACTGAAAATTCGTTGTTCATTGATCTGGTGCGGCTTTGCTTCAACCAACAAGTGTCATACTTTTTAATTCTGGTCACAATTGTTTTCCATTTACCGTTTTTCTGTTTCAGTTTTCAGTCTAAGAATCCGATGATGAATAGTCATTAGATTTGGGGATGCTCTTTGTGTGAAATCTAGTTCCTCAGTCAAACTCCCCTTTTAGGGTGATACGCTGATTACTATTTGGCTCCTTAACAATCGTAACAATTTTTCGTTTGCTGTTCAGCAATCTGAGTTATTTATGGGTCACAAAGTATACCAAAGTTGTTGACAATGAACACTTTATTATTTATTAGAAACTTCGATAATCGATTTCACCGAATCAGAGCGTATGCCCCTTGCTCACTCATCCGAGTCTCTCCAGGGATCGGTCAGTAGGGGTGCTGCCGAAAGAATGTGGACGACGTTCAACGAGAAAACTCTAAAAGACATTCCGGGTATCGGTTTTTCCATTAGTTGTCTTTCCGTCACAATGGAAGCGACCACGTGTTATCT